GGAACTCGGATGTGAACCGTTGCGATGACATACACAACGTGCCCGAGTGTTTGGCCATTTTGCGCGACAAAGACAATCCGGTGGTCAAACGGGCCGAAGAGTTTGCCGCACGGCTTAGGGCTGACTTTAACAAAAAACAGCAATCGCTCGGCTCCCAGAAGATGGTCTTCGGCGGTAAACCCACGGCCACTGACATCATAACCTCTCCCATCCCTCCGACAGCTGATCCCGTGGACGAGGGTATGGTTGTGGAAGAGATCAGTGGCAATGAGAGCAACGATATTAAGAGTAAGAAAAAGCCTAAAAAGTTTGAGACCAGTTCTGGTAGTGATCTGATGACAGCAATCACTACAACAACGACAACACCTGTTATGCCTAAAGAGATTGATAATGACTTAAACACTATCGTTGTGTCAACAGTGAATAATCGTAAGCCATTTGGTCCCATATCTGATGATAAGTCCAGCACCTCATCCACCGATGGATACGCCCTGAAGATTGAGCTCAAAATTCCGGACTCTTTGTATAAGTTATACAAAGTGTGCACATATTATATGCATCTTATTTTGGTGTACATTAGAAGTAATCCGTGAATTAACTTATTGTAATCAACAGTTAATTGTAATTATATTTGTTTTTATTAAATTTGAAATTAGATTTAAGTATTTATATGTAAATTAAATTTTATTGCATTTATTTTATAAAAAAGAGAATTGTATTGTAATTTTATGTTCAATTAGTTTTTAATTGTTTTATAAATAAACGATTTCTTTTGCAATTGTATTCATTTTTATCATTTGAATTGGTTTTTATTTATAACAATTTATTGCTTAAAATGCTTGAAATTAACAAATATTTTTCAAATGAAACTTTGGATTAACTCTTGGTATTGAGATATTTCTGCTTAAAACCTGCTCTCTCTCTCTCTCTCTCTCTCTCACTCACTCACTCACTCACTCTCTCTCTCTCTCTCTCTCTCTTTCTCACTCTCACTCTCACTCTTTCAAAATTTTGATTTAATTTGAAAGTAAAACTTAAAACTCATTCAAATATTGACTCAACTTTGACTCTCTGTGAGAATGAATGTGAAATGCATTGCATATCACGTTATTAGAGATGTAGAGGTATAACAAAAATGTTTCCTTTCCTTTAATATATAGTAAATAGATTTCGTTAATGTTATAATGATGGTAATTAATTATACATTATTAGTATACATACAGACAACCGCCGTTATGATCATACATGTTACACATAAGCCAACTATTAGTTTCATTAATGTGTCGGGTGTAAATCTTGTAGTTGAGTAGTTGATTTATAATTAATTAATTAATCAATCTAATTTTGCAAAATTATACTCTTAATTATGCTTTAAATTTTTATTTTTATTTTGTTATTTATATGGTGTACATAGTGTGACCACTTTTAGATTTAAGAATAGAGAACATGTGACCAAATTTCCTTTAAAATAGAAAACAAATAGATAACACACATAGGTAGTCACACTAGGTGTACATTAATTGTTATTTCATATGTAGCTAATAACCTCATAGATTGATTTATTAACTCAGATTTGGTATTGTTTATTTGAAACATTTATTAACAACTATTACAATATTGTTTACAATGAATTTGTAATTTACTTGATGTGGCAATCACTGATTGCATGATACGCCAAGTTTGTATCACCTGTGTCCACCAGTATTAGCACTAGATAATACTGTTATTTTTAATGCCTCTTTAAATTACAGGTATTTAATACATAAAGATAATAAATCAACAATATTTTGGCGGTTTTGTTAAGAAAAATTTATTTCATCACATTTATTGCTACAAATTGAAATACAAAATTAATATTTTAAATTATATAATTATATTGATTCTTATCTAACCCTTCATCGCACCGCTGAGGGTATTCATATCTGTTATCAATTTATCGTACATGGCCATTGCTTGTTTGCACCCATCAGACAAACTCGTTTTACCCGACTGCACCTCGTTGGCCAATTTCACTTTACTAGTCTTAAAATTGGCTAGATCCTTTTGCATCTTGGTGAGTGCACCTTGGGCGCCTGCAGGCACCGCGCCCTTCAGCATGTCCAGAAATGCCTTGCATTTAGCGATCACATCGTTCAGTTGGCCCGCTTTGGCAGCGAACGCTTCCTTAGTCTTACAGTCAGTCTCGGTGTAAACACCTGATTAAACATGGTCAAATTATTTGTTGAGTAATAGCTGTTGTTAAAGTTGCTGAGTTGTTAAATAATAACTTTATAAATTAATAAATTATGGTAGAAACTTTTATATTTCTATTTTGTTAATGGTATAATTACCGCCGCTGACAACCGCCGTTATGATCATACATGTTACACATAAGCCAACTATTAGTTTCATTATTGTATCGGGTGTAATTACTTTGATTAGTTGATTTATAGTTAATTAATTAATTTAATTTTGCAAAATTATACTTTTAATTATGCTTTAAATTTTTATTTTTATTTTGTTATTTATATGGTGTACATAGTGTGACCACCTTTAGGTTTAAAAATAGAGAACACACATAGGTGGTCACACTAGGTGTACATTAATTGTTATTTTATATGTGGCTAATAACCTCATAGATTGTTTTATTAACTCAGATTTGGTATTGATTTTTGAAAAATTTATTGCACAACTATTACAATATTGTTTACCATAAATTAGTAATTTACGTGATTGCATGATGATTACACGCCAAGTTTGTATCACCTGTGTCCACCAGTATTAGCACTAGATAATGCTGTTATTTTTTACTGCCTTTATAAATTACAGCAATTTAATACATAGAGATAATTAACCAACAATAGTTTGGCTGTTTTGTTAACAAAAAATTTATTTCATCACATTTATTGCTACAAATTGAAATATAAATTTAATATTTTAAATCATATAATTATATTGGTCCCTATCTAACTCTTCCTAGCACCATTAAGGGCCTGCATATCATTTTGCAATTTGTTGATCATGGCCATTGCCTTTTTGCACCCATCAGGCAAACTTGTTTTACCCGACTGCACCTCTTTGACCAATTTCTCTTTATTGGTCTTAAACTCGGACATATCCTTTTGCATCTTTTTGAGTGTACCTTGGACGCTGGCAGGAAACTGGCCCTTTAACATGTCAAACGTTAACTTGCTTTTAGCGATCCAATCGGTCAGTTGACCCGCTTTGGCAGCGAACGCCTCCTTAGATTTACAGTCAGCCTCCGTGTAAACACCTGATTAAACATGTTCAAATTATTTGTTGAGTTAAATAATAGCTTTATAAATTAATAAATTAGCGTAGGAATTTTTAATTTTTATTTTGTTAATGTAAAAATAAAGGTAATTTATTATACATACAGACAACCGCTTTAATGATCAAATATGTCACACATAAGCCAACTATTTTTTTCATTATTGTGTCAGGTGTAATTACTTTGAGTAGTTGATTTATAATTAATTAATTAATTAATTTAATTTTGCAAAATTATATTCTTAATTATAATTAAAATTTTTATTTTTTTTATTTATATGGTGTGAACATCTTTAGGTTTACAAAGGTACACTAGGTGTACATTAATGTTTATTTTATATGTAATATTAGCTAATAACCTCATAGATTGATTTATTAACTTAGGTTTGGTATTGTTTTTTTTTGTGAAACATTTATTACATAACTATTATAATATTGTTTGCCATGAATTAGTAATTTACGTGATTGCATGATAAGTTTGTATCACCTGTGTTTACCAGTATTAGCACTAGATAATACTGTTATTTTTTAAACGCCTTTATAAATTACAGGTAAAGATCATTAACCAAGGATATTTTGGTTGTTTTTGTTTATAAATAGTGCATTTAAATTTGCATATTTATATAAATTTATTGGTACATAGTATCAGTGCGAGTGTCCAAATGTCCACCGATCACGTACTGGTGGACACAACTATAACTGCATTTTAAGCACATATTTTGACAATTGTATTTAAAATCCATGCGTTTTTATGTCTATAAACCTAATGTTTGAATATTTAATTATGTAAAACTAATTTAAATATATCAAAAGTATAAATCTAAATTCATTGATGTAAAATGGATCCGAATCAATATATTTACCATATTGTTTGGCCCAAATTGACTATAAAACTTGTGATAATAACAATTAGCTAAATTGTGTATGCATTTGAAATCATAGTTAAAATTGTATTATTTATTGATGCATTTAATTTTATGCATATTATATGTAAGGAAACCACTTAAATGGAACTTTAGGGGTAAAAAGTATATATTAAAGCGTAAAAGGGATATTTATCAATATGTCTATTAGCTTATGAGTGTTGCATTTATGTTGAAAGTACACAAATGAATCATACTACAATATATATGAAAAACATGACTAGTTTCCCTAATTATATGACATATTTAAGGTAATATTTCCCATATTTGTCAATAAGATTATAAATTTATTTCATTATATTTATTGTTACAATTTGAAATATAATTTTAATATTTTAAATTATGTTATCATATTGAGTCCAAATTCAAAAATCATTATTTTTAATAAAAACAACAAACATATTACATGAGGAAAATATTAATTAAAGAAATTACAATATTAATCAATTAGCTTAAATTAATTCACTATAACATATAATTTTAACATTAAAACAACATTGTACCCCAAATAAGTACCCCCATTACCCACACACCCACCCCCTCTATATATCCTCCTTGTCCTCCGGGTGCAGAACTTTCTTATACTCCTTAACGTCGGCCATAAACTTGTCGATCAATTGTTCGCATTTATGCCAATACTTATCCATAGCTTTCTTATCGGTGGCCACAGTCTTGTCGGCGTTGAACTCATCCAATATCTTCTTCTTGTCGCTCTCCAACTGATCCAAGTGTTTAAGCACTTTATCCGCCGCCGACTTCTTCGTGGCGTCCGTTTCGGCCTTCAATTTCTGCCTCAAGTGACCGATCCTTTCGATGATGGATGAGATGTAGTGCCGGAAGCCCTCAGGTGTGTGCTCTTCAGCTTCACCATGGTGAGTTTGGTTGGTGGTTGCTATGTATGGTTAGGTTAGGTTAATTATTATCAAGCTGTAATTAAATAATAAAGGCATATATTATGGTAATAAATTCATCAATATAAATAATAGTATTGGGCATCCTAATGTAAGTCTTCAAATTATTTTGTAAGCATACAAGTATGTGATAATTGCTTATATTATTACCATGTTTGGTGTTTAAAAGTAAATAAATTATTTAAAATATAATTGAAAGCTTATTTATAAAATAATATAAGTTAAACACAAATTAACCCAATATCATTATTTATTTTGTTTTATTTATCATCAATATGTTTATCACTATTATTTAAATACAAAAGCAATTTGAGATAAATTATGAATTCAACACTACTTTTAACTCAAGTGTTAATACAAA